CGACAGCTTAGGTCGATGGTTCAACACTGAATGAATGAATTGTCGTCGAGGCGATGGTAAGCTCTCTTTTTCTCTTTGTCTTATTCTCATCCTCGAGTCGGAATTTTGTTATGTCTGTTGCAGTGCCACGTCCTGCCTGAGGTGATAAGACTGGGGTTATGTGTCGTCACATAACTCCTCCCTGCCGAAGTTCAATGACGTCCTCGTTATTGATTGTTTGGGTAGGTTGACGTATTTTGCCCTTTTTCCTGTATATGAAGTGGATTAAGAGGCCTATAATGATTAAAAATATAATTGCGACACTGGTTACAGACATATGAAATTCGATTCCAAGCTTTTGAAATGTTGGTATATCTATTGTAGGTGAAGTTAACGTTTTCAAAGGTTCCAAATTCAATTGATAATTCCTGATGATTAGAGGCAAGATTTCTGGTTGCTTTAGTTCTCCGAGATTTTCATTAAGATTGTGACCTTGTACTTGCACATCGTTTCCTTGGACAAAGTGTGTTCCTTGGAGGGTGGTTTTGTTCCTGTTATATTCAATAGTTATCGGATAATTGCATGATATTAATGTCGAGTTGTTCGATAGCGGATATACCAATACTAGAGGTATATTTGTTGAAATGTAGATTGGTCTGATCTCTTCTGCGACAATTCGGTAACACAGATAATCGTGATCGTATATTAGTTGACATTTATGAGCAAATAATTTGACTGTTGTTCCTGTTAATTTCCATGGTGTAGTTATAATTTCTGTTTGATTGTTATGACTGATTGTAGCAAGTCTTTGAAATAAGGAGAACTCGATAGGGTTAAGGATCGGAATTTTAAGTGTATAGATAATGAAGTCAGGGGCGGTTACGATTGATCCTTGAGTAAATCGAAAATCCAATAAATTGTGATAATGTAGCATTAACTCTTTTCGAGAATAAAGTTTTAATAAATGCGCTTTTATATCTGACATTTGTTCATAAGTTAGTATTTCTAAGTCAAACACTTCTCCTGAGAAAACGAACGACCTTTTAATTTTTTCAAGTAAATTTAGAAAATGTTGTTCTTGAGTGATAAGGGTAATAATGGCTTCGAAGAGGTCAAGTCGCGTACTTTGTTCACTAAGAGTGTTTGCAAGATTTTGTAAATTTTTGTTAATCATTTCTGTGTTTCCATTTATGGTATTACTTATCGTATTTATAATGCTTACTGTTTTACCAAGAGTTAATATGCCTTCGTGTTGTTGGCGTTCGAGCGAAGTCAAATAATTGTTTATTTTGTCAAGATCATTAGCATCCGGGTTTCCGAAAATGTACTTGATTACTGTACCCAATCCATTTATTAATCCTCTTTTAACCCTTTCGGTTAGGGGTTCAATTTGTTGTAGATTTTGATAAATTTCGTTACATAGGGATTCGGTTTGCCTGAATAAACTTGAATTTCTGAGTTCCTCCCGTCCAGATAATATGGTATAACTAATGAGGATTTTGTTGTAAGTATGTCTAAGGGACGTTATGTTTATGTAAAAATGTAGATAGTGATAATTTTCCATAATCCTTCCGATTCCTTGTTGATAGTTGTAATGCGTTGCGTTTGGATCAGTTTGGATACTCTTCACGAGTATAATTGAGATCGTCAGGGTCAATATTATTTTCATCCTCCTGTAAAAATGAAGAGACCTTTCTTAATCTTTTGGCATCTCTTAAGTTATAGCGGCGTTGCTGTCCGTGTATATGGCAATCTAATGTGGGGCCTTGTTGTTTCTCTACAAGTAACCTTTGATAACGGGGAGCAGTTTTATCGCGTTGTTGCTGATGCGTTTTAACGAACATTTCCCTACTTTCCAACGTTTCATCCGAATTATTAGGTAGATGTTGCTTCTGTAGTTGTTTTTGATATAATTTTTCATAGAACGGTAAAATTTCCTTTTTTCTAATTTCGTTATATTTTTCAATGGTATCACTATCGGGATCTATAATGTGTTTATGTAATTCTTTATAGGGACCGTATAAGAGAGTGAATGGGGCATAATTTGTTGAGGAGTGAATACTTTGGTTATATATTAGAATAGCTGTAGTCATGTGATTTTTGGTTATTTCCCTTGGGTTTTGATCTATTAATATACTTAATTTTTCCTTTAAGGTAGAGTGTAATCTTTCTATGGGTCCATTCGACGTATGTCTGTTAATGGTGGTTTGTTGATAATCAATTTTATGAATCCTGCAAAATTCTTTAAATACGGTCGAATTAAATTCGCTACCGCTATCTGTAGTAATCTTATCTGGAAAATTATGATGCGAAGAGAAAGGTCATAGTTTATTTAATATAATGGTGGCATTTCCGTCAGGCAAATGATAAGCTTGAGCGTATTTAGAGAAAATATCGATAATGGTAAGAAATTCTTCCTTATTGAAATTAAAAATGTCCATATGTATATGTTGAAGCGGTCTATTAGCAATTATGGGTCCGTAAGTTTCTGTCTCGTAGGGCCTTCTTTCATATTTATGCTCAAGGCATGTTTCGCACTGATTTATATAATTTTGAATAATTCTATCCATATTAAGTGTGTACAGTTTCTTCTTAAAATGTGCTATTGTTTCTTGTATTCTATTATGAGTTTGGTTATGGTATTTTTCAAGTTCTTTCATAAAGCTATTTCGGTTGACCGAAGGTGTGCAGGTACAGTAAAAGCTGGATATATGCAACAAACATTGGGACCCAGACGTTGCATATATCCAGTGGAGGTGTCGAATCTCGGGTTACACGCGACGAGCCGCCAAGCGTGAACGTAGAAAAGGACAGACAGTGGCGGAAAGAGAGAGGTCCGATGATCAAAGGAAAGAGCCGAAACGTATCGGTGTGACTAATACTAATTGAATCAAAAAACTTTTTTATTTTTGACTTTTTTTTAATGAAACTTGTACTAGCGCATTGGTGAGCTTTTTGTGATTAAAGTGGTACCAAACACGATATAGTTTGAATTATAATTACTTGCTCAAATTGATGTTAAACGTGGCGAAAAGCAAAGGACGATTGGAAATGAAAACCGGTTGCGGTGTCGGCTCGGGTTTCAAACGTTGCATATATCCAGCCGAGGTGTCGAATCTGGGCATTTAAACGTTGCATATATCCAGCCGAGGTGTCGATTCTGGGCATTTAATGTTGCATATATCCAGCCGAGGCGTCGATTCTGGGCATTTAAACGTTGCATATATCCAGTCTTGGTATCGATTCTGTGTCCGTACAAATCGTTTGTACCGTGCCGCGTAACCTATTCTACGTTCGTACAAATCGTTTGTACCGTGCCGCGATACCTATTCTACGTTCGTACACAACATGCAACGTGTCTGAAGTGATGTGAAACTGTTTCTCAAAGTCAGGGTATTTTAATATGGGCGCATTGGTGATTAATTCTTTACATTTATTAAATGATTCGATGAGATCTCTATCTTCGCAATCGATTTTTTCTCCTTTCTTGAGCACTTTCGTGAGGGGTTTGGTTATTTTTGCATAATCTCTAATAAACTTCCGGTAGTAGCCGGTGAGTCCTAGAAATGCTTTAATCCCTTTTTGCGTAGTTGGAAGGGGATACTTTATTATAGCATCAATTTTGTCTGGGTTTGGTTTAATTCCATGAGGTGTGATAATATGTCCCAAAAACGGTACTTCTTTTCGTAAGAATTCGCTTTTATCCAGTTGTATTTTCAAATCATACGTTCTTAATTCATCAAATAAATGTTCTTGCAATGATTTTGAAAATATTACAATGTCGTCCATGTAGACGAAACAAAATTTGTGCAGATACTTTCTTAAAACTTTATCCATCATCCTCTTGAAAGTGGCGGGGGCACTTTTCAGCCCAAAGGGCATTCGAGAATACTCGTAATGACCATTTTCCACTGTAAAAGCTGTTTTTTCTATGGAACCCTCGTGTACAGGGATCTGATGAAAGCCCTGGGCTAAATCCAATGTACTAAAATAGGCACATTTACCTAAGTTCTCTAAAATATCATCCACCCTCGGGAGTGGGTATTTATCTTCAATAGTTTTGTCGTTTAACTTGCGATAGTCAATTACCATTCTCCATTTCTTCTTCCCACTTGCGTCACTCTTTTTCGGTACAATCCAGACGGGCGAAGAATAAGGCGAATTACTAGGACGAATTATTTCGTCTTTCAGTAGTTTTCTTATTTGTTCTTGTATTTCCTGTTTTAAGTGGTATGGGTAACGAAAACTTTTGACGTAAATTGGATATTCGTCTTTTGTTCGGATATTGTGGCTAACTGCACTAGTGGCTGATAATTTCTTATCCTCATTATAAAAGCAGTCTTTATATCGATGGCATAGGTTTGTAATTTTATCCCTTTCCTCGCTGTTCATGTGGTTGGTCCTTATCTGTGTTATTATTTCTCGATGACGGTTCGTTCCAGCGGCCTCGCATTTTCCCGGTATATTGTTTAGATAGTTTATTTCAAACTTCGTCGTACTAAATATTTGAGTTTTATAGTTTATACTTGCTTCTAATTTTTGCAGGTCTTTGTTTCCAATTAAGCAATCGTAAGTGGAATGCCATTGCGCTATGAGGAAAGTAATAGGTGTTTCGTCTCCTAATTCACGTAAAATCGGAAAAGTGAGTGCACGTGTACCCTTTGTTACTTTATGTACTGATTTGATTTCAAAATTATATGGAAAAATATATTCGGAAAATAGGCGATAGGCTATTTCGGGATTAATAATTGATGAAGACGCTCCTGAATCAATAAGAATTTTAAGTGGCGGGTCAGCCGTGATAATATGTGGAAGTTCAGGCGAATTTCCAATCGAATTTAGGTTTACTATATCTCTTGATTCGTGTCGGGGTCCTGTGGAAAATTTTCGTGATTAACTTCTTCCTGATTTTCTAAATCTTGTTGCTGTTCTTCCTGATGATGAAGTTCTTCCGCTACGAAGTTCGGAGGTCCTGTGCTTCTGAAGAAGTTATTTGGTCTCGCCATAAAATTATTACTTGGTTATATAAAATTGTTATTAGGCCTATTAAGGTTATTATTCAGTCTGTTAGTGTTTCTCGTACTAATCGACATAGGTGTAGGTTGAGGATTTTGATTCCTAGGTTGATTACTATTTGGTCTATAATTATTACTGTTTCCAAAATTTATTAGTGCAAATGGTTTCTGTGCAATAGCTGCACGTTGTTGAAACGGGTTTATGTTTCCGGAAGTTCCATGTGTTTTGGGTCTGTTCTCGCGTTGTCTCATGAAGGTAAGGAAAGCTGCTTGTTGCTCGTGGTTATCGTACTTTCGGCATTTTGTTAGACAGTCCTCGATATCAGTCAATTCAAAATGCGTCAGATGCGAATGATACGGCTGTTTAATTCCGTTAGTAAATACGTTTTTCGCAATATTATCATAAAAGTTATTTTTCATAGCAATTATATTGTTATCCTGATTATTTAGTTGTATATGGTCTTTTAGTTTATTCAAACGATTTTTGATTTCGTCGGCGTATTCTTCGTACGTTTGATTAGATTGCTGGTAACAAGTACTGAGTCTGTTAAATAGTAATTCTTCCGAACTAGGATCGCTATATCTATTAATTAAGAGTGTCCTACAATGGGGCCAGTCTATGGGTTTATTAACAACTACCAAATCAAGTGCCTCTCCGCGTAGCTTCGATTTGATAAGAGCATACAGCGACTCGTTGATCGCATTGTCGTTCGTTGTAAGATTTTCCGAGAATTTGTCACATGTCTGAATAAAATGAGACAAAAGTCTTGTCCCTCCCTCGTACATTGGGATCGCGTCGCGCCATACAGATAATCTCATTTTAAATTGGTCAAATGTAAGTTGAGCCATTATTTCGCTTACACTTATTTATAACGGGTCAGAATTAATGTACGTGATCAATCGTATTGAATAGGGGCAAAGTAGGAATATAGTATATATATATATATATATATACGTATAGATAGGAAATTTCAAAGACTTACTTCTCCGTGTCAGTGCCGAAAGGTGGCCTGATCGTGTTGACACTGCGACAATGGGGTTGAAACACCAGCTGCTTCCTCGTCAGTGATTTTCGTCACACAATTGGAGAAAAATCCAGATTCAACAGCCTCGCAGTATCCTGTCCGCAGCGCCAGTTAAGTGACAGGAGGTAAGTAAATATACAATATTCTTTTAATTATACACGTCTACTTTGTCCGTACAGGTCGTCAGCTTAGGTCGATGTTCAACACTGAATGAATGAATTGTCGTCGAGGCGATGGTAAGCTCTCTTTTTCTCTTTGTCTTATTCTCATCCTCGAGTCGGAATTTTGTTATGTCTGTTGCAGTGCCACGTCCTGCCTGAGGTGATAAGACTGGGGTTATGTGTCGTCACATAACTCGCGCTGGATATAAAAAATGTGTTTATCGCGGTTGTGGTGTTACGTCGCGTAACAGAACAACTGAGACATTACATTCATTCCCAGTTGCAGACAATGATCGGTTGATACAGTGGATCGTGAATAGTGGAAACGACGATTTCGCGGATTTAACCGATCTGCAATTGAAACACCGATATATTTGTTCAAGGCATTTTGCCGAAAAAGACAAGGTGGTACAACTGAAATTGAAGAAGGATGCCGTACCGAAGGATATTGTACGATTTGGGTGAGGATAATGAAGAGCCTACGTGTAACAGTCGTAAGCATTCACCCAAATTCCTTTGTAGATCAAAGAGAAAAGAAATTGATCAATTGAAATTAGCAACGCAGAAATTGCGTAAACTGCTTGCTAGAAAAAATAAACAAATATTAGCATTAAAACGTAAAATAGAGTCGTACGAAATGACGGAGTCAGATTTCGTTCGAAATATAAAAGACAAAGTTTCGAACGAAGTAAAGACGTTCATGTTAATGCAATTGTATCCGCAACCCGTATATTCTGCTGTAACGTCCCGGAATTATTATCGCGAGTACGCTACTGCACCGACGCGTAGGGAGAGCGGTTCCCTTGCAAAAAGGCGACTCGTATATAATTATATAATGAAGGGATCATAGGTTCGGGTGGTGCGCGGTAAAGGAGTAAAATCCAACGTTAATTCCTTTCTCAAATTTGTTTAGTGAGTATGTTTATTCAAGAAAATAAGATCTGTTCGTTTATAATATATATAAAAAGGTAAGTAACTATTTGAATTATATAAAAATGTAAGTGTTGGTTTTTCTCTTTTAAGAAGAAAAAGTTTTTCATTCTTTTACAAAAACCATCGACGTACGTATTAAGTTTCTTTTTCGAGGCACAAGTCAAGAGGGTGCAGCTGTGTCCCTTCTTGGCTTATTTAGACAACGAATAGGACCGATAGAGTCTATGGGTACATGACGAATTCTTCGTCACTGACCTGTTTGTAGTCTGACTGTTTCTTTCGAGCTGTACGGACGTGTCCTTCCACGTGCTTAAATAAAGGTTTTATTTATAGTATTTTCTTCTATTTTTATTTTTTGTTTCACCACCTATTTCCAATAGTAAGTAATATAAAATGTAATGAAAATAATATAAAGAATTATCGTAATTGATGTATGTACAAATGTTGCGCCCTGTTCTTGAAATACAAAAAGAAAATAATTATATTAATTATTTACAGTGAGTACGCCCTAGATTAAAAAAATACAAAGGAAAATAACAATCGCGTTTGTGCTAAAATAAAATACAATGAAAGAAAATTCAGATTATTAATTACAAAATAGTTTGACCTAAAATAAAATACAAAGAAAAATAAATGAATTAGAAACGCGACTCTAGATACGATTATCAAAACTAATAATCTATAATTTGAATTTTGTAAAATAAAATTATTTAAATAAATTGATCGATTGTCGGAAAATTGGCGAGGATCCGTTCCGACACTGTAAGAGCTTACTCGTTCGGCCGCAGTACGATTTCTGGGCAACTTAGCCGTCACTGATAGGCCGCATCCAAGGAGCTTCTGCTTTCGCTCGCTCGTTAAGCTTGGTAGCGAACACTGCAAGACGGTATCCAGTGATGCCAGAACCGTGGGACGTGGGACAAATCTTTACCCTCTCCACGACGTCCCACGACGTCCCAGTGACTCCCCTACCGCAGTTGTTTCATCTAACACAAGCGCGTTGTCCCACGTGTCCGTGTCAGCTCTCTGCGGGTTTGGCAGAGTTCGGCTGCTCTCGTCATTTCTACGTTATCGGCTCGATGCTCAAGCCGCTAAAGCACGAGGCAGCAGCATCGACGAATCGACAAAATAATATAATTTCGTGCATGGCAATATGGCTGAATTAAAAAACCAGGAGAATCAGTTCGAATCCCGAATTTACGGTTTCAGTTCTGATTCTTAATACATTAACGTTTTTCTAATACATAAAAATACATTTTTGATACATTAATACTATGAAATACATTAACTTGGAAAGCAGTTAAAAAAAGGAGTTGAACTGCATCTTTCTTTGATATTTTTTTTAATATTTAAGTTTTATATATATACATATGTATGTACGTACATATGATAAAAGTACGTGATACAGAAGTAATTTCTTCAATTAGATATTACTGTTATTCTAACTATTACAATACGTAAATTCGAAGACATACGAGGAAAATTGGTTAGGTTAAATTGTAAGGATATAAAGAAATTTCAATCTTTAACGGTTTGTCAGTTTTATTTCTTATTCCTTACAACTATTATAATTTTATTCTCTGAATGGTCATTACAATGAAAGATGGATTAGATACAATTTGATTCCTCATTTAATTTGTTATATACATATCAGGTTTCTTGCAACTATTGCACCTGGTCCACGCTTATACGATATTGCACATTTTACTTTCCTATAATACAACAAGGGAACAAAATTATAATATAGTGATTACCATAATACAATAGAAAATGTTAAGCTTGGTATAAACCTTCTTTTTTTTGTGTACTTAATCTGCAGTTACGCTTCGTTGCTTTATAATGACTGATTTTTCTTTTGAATGAAACTTCCACTAGCGTATTGATGAAATTTTTCGATTAAAACAAGATCAAACACGACGTAATTTGAATTATAGTTACTTTATATATTTGCATTAGGTTTTAAATAAATAAGTAAATATAATGCAAATTATGTCGTGTTTGGTCTTATTTTGATCAGAAGAACCTTCCAATTACATTGGTAAAAGTTTCATTTAGCAAAAATGAAAAATAAAAAAGTTATGGTTAAATTAATATTGTCTCGCTCAAATGTTTTTTCTCGGGCCCTTTAATTCTCGGACCTCCTTCTCTTTCGCTATTTGTCTTTTTCTACGTTCGCCAGCATTCAAGAACTCGCTCGAGCTGTCGTTCTGCCAGCCTCGCACACTTTTAGGAGAATCGGGAAAATCCAGCATAATAACACATTCTATGCTGAAAGAATATACTAACAATAAGTTATCTGTTTAAAAAAATTTTAATAAATCTGACAACAGATTTATTTTCGGGCTGCTTTTCTTAAGTAATCAGCATTTTACCAGTCTCCTGTACAGATCGTGTGTAGCAGTTTGTAGCAAACTCAACATATTTTCGATATTATGTAGAATACACAACCGATCGACAAATATTAAAAATCCAGGATATTTTGTGCCGCTTTTTATATGTCAAGGGCCATCGAAATGAAATAAATGACCAACAATGAATAATATAATAAAGGTGATCGCTGTTCATCTATTTCTTTTCTACGATGTAGTATAGGATTGCCTCGAAATAAGCAAGTGGCTCGAGACCTAACAGTTGCTTATTTCGAAGCAGAGACCACTTGCTTATTTCGAGGCAATCCTGTATTTCTTCCACAAGAGACAGTTTCCTAACAATTTACAGTACAGTAAAATCTGGATATGCATATGCAAGAGAGATTGGGATCCAAGCGAGGTGTCGAACCTCGGGTTACGCGCGACGCCAGCCAAGCGTGAACGCAGAAAGGGACAGGCAATGGAGGAGAGAGAGAGGTCCAATGATCAAAGGAAAGAGCCGAAACATATCGGTGTGACTAATACTAATTCAGTTATAAAACATTTTTATCTTTGACTTTTTTTAAATGAAATTTTTACTAGCGCATTGGCCAGATTTTTCTGATTAAAATGATACCAAACACGATATAGTTTGAATTATAATTACTTGCTAAAATTGATGTTAAAAGTAGACGAAAAGTCAGAGAGATCGAATCAAAACATTGCATATGCATATCCAAGCGAGGTGTCGAAGTTTGATCGGACGTCTTGCATATACCCAGGTTTTACTGTACTGTAAATTGTTAGGAAACCGTCTCTTGTGGAAGAAATACATCGTAGAAAGGAAATAGATGAACAGCGATCACCTTTATTATACTATTCATTGTTAGTCATTTATTTCATGTCAATCGCCTTTAGCATATAAAAAACGGCACAAAATATCCTGCATTTTTAATATTTTTCGATCGGTTGTGTATTCGACGTAATATCGAAAACATGTTGAGTTTGCTACAAACTGCTACACACGATGCGTACAGGAGACTGGTAAAATGCTGATTACTTAAGAAAAGCAGCCCGAAAATAAATCTGTTGTCAGATTTATTAAAATTTTTTTAGACAGATAACTTAGTGTATTCTTTCAGCATAGAATGTGTTATTATACTGGACTCCCTTGATTTTGCGTTACACTCAAATATTCGATGAATAGGTAACGAAAATGTGATGCTGGCAGAACGACATAGCTCGAGCGAGTTCTTGAATGCTGGCGAGCATAGAAAAGGACAAATAGCGAAAGAGAAAGAGGTCCGAGAATTAAAGGGCACGAAAAGAAACATTTGAGTGAGACAATATTAATTTAACCATAACTATTTTTATTTTTCATT